ATCCCCTGTCACGACCCCCACCTCCTTTGGCAACATCGTTCCTAATTTCCGCCCTGACCCCCTCATCCGATGAGTCCATTGCTCGTTTGGAACACAATTGCTATGTTATGTCCTACCTCCGTACCATTCAAAGGTCCAAACCGCTATTCACGTGATTAACTTAAAACATGTTTAATCTTTTGCTTTATATATCAGATTTTTATCAAACTTAATTTTTCTTGATCAAACTTTGTAAAAAACTTAACGTAGTTTTTTAATATATAAATTTTATTTACTAAAAATAATTAAAGTCTGAACATCAATCAAATTGTTTTATCGTTAGTCAAACATCGTGAACCGAATCAGGAACCTCTCTGGGACGGATGGATCGAGAATAATGTAATGCCATGTTAAAATAATACTAACATTTTCGTATAACAAATGAAGACATTTCAAGATGCAAAAAACATGTCATTAGAGATAAAAAATCATGGCAAATTAAAACAAAAAGTATGGCATTTTGCATTTTAGAAATTAATCCAACTTTCATATGAAATACGGCAGTATTAGATAAAAATATTCTTTTTTTTTGTGAGAAAAAAAAAAGAATATTTTTAAACTATGACGTACTTTCATATAAAAACTATGACACAAAACTAGCCTCTCAGATATTTCAAGTGGGGCAAACACTAGCCTCTCAGAGATTTCAAGTGGGGATAATTAAAACTCTCTTTTAAGATGTGGGACAAATAATAGGAAGAAATTGAATCAAATCATAAATGAGAGTAAACGAGGTGTGTAATGAGGCGAACATGTATAAAACTATAACCGTCTCACCACCAATAAAAATAATACAACTATTCACCGTCTCACGCATACCCGTTACCCGGTTAATGTACGTAGTTTCCCCCATTTTGACTGGAGCGGTTTGGTATGAGTATTCATCAGACCAGTCACAATTTTCATCCCTAGAGACTAAAAGCGTAGAATGTAGGATCTATAGAGGAGGATGAGATATTTTTTTTTGGAAGAAGGGGGCTTAATTAAATTGATATCAAAGCATTAGCATTCAGAAAGGGAGTAAAAAAAAGTAAGGAACAACATACAACCGTCATCCCGCGAACCAGACTCGGAGTTAATTCCCTTCGAACAAGCAATATAACTCGCTGATCCATTAATGGGCAAATCTAAGCCACAGACGATTGAAGCAGACCAAACCTCACCCAATCCTAATGCAAGAGTCTTACAATTGAAAGAAATAACGACAAAATAAAACATAGTCTCATTAATAGCGACCGCAATAAAAATAGCAGTAAAATAAAGATTCTTCTTCAACACCATGAGCAACTCCACCGAAACCCTTCTTGAACTGTTCGGCCATCCCCCACAAACCGACGGACCTACTAGAGGTCCGCCATCACTCCGTTTTTTTGTTCGTCCAGTACCATCCCATCCCTCGCAGCAACACTTTGCTTTTCTTCTTCCCAGGCCCTTCTCCACTTTGGATCTCCCTAGGTCTCCTTTGGACTAACTGAGTTCCCTTCCTTAATGGAGCCGATTCTAGTACCTGTATTCTCCCTCCAGTCCCGCTTCTCTGTATCCTGCCCGTCAGATATTCCCACCCCAGTACTGGAGGACCCTTCAACGAACCACTTTGTACCTCCTGTGGGGCTTGTCTTCACGCCAGTCCCAGCTCTAAGATCAACTGCATAATTTTTTATTATCAAAAGTGATATTCTCTCCCTCGTAAACAATCGGGCAAAATTTATCGGAATGCCCAATAATACCACAAACAAAGCAGAAATTTGGGAGCTTTTCATATTTGAAATCCACCCACTGGCTAAACATCCATACAAACTCTAATCCTCAAATATGACCAAAAGTTTTCATCAGATTTTCTATCATCAAAACTAATGAATTTTTCAATATAATTACCAATACGTCTAGCAGATCCCAGATTCATAAAGCCATAAGCAGCATTGTGCACTTCCTCCCAAAAGTCAGCCTCATAAAGCCTAATTTGTAAAGGAATATCTTCTGCCTGGATCTCTTTTAATAACAATAAATTCCGCTCAAACAACCACGAACCTTTATCCAGAACACGTCTCATATATAGTATGTGATAAAAAGTCAAAATATATCTTTGGGAAAAGGGGCAAATAAGCCCTCGAACTAATAAAAAAAGTGCAAATAAGCCCTTTTGTAAGAGGTTCTGTCCGGTCGCCGTCATTTGGAGAGGTTCCCGGTAGAGTTTTTTGATGAAATTTTTTGAGTATCTTCTTCAATAAGTCTAGTTTAGCCATATCAAATTTCAGCTAAAAATTCAACCGGGAAGGCACTCAAATGATTTTCCGAAATATACTGTGTTGTTTAACTACGCAGTTATCTTCAAAAATTCATTTGACTGTCTTCCCGATTGAATTTTTAGCTAAAATTCGATATGAGTAAACTAGACTTAATGAATAAGATTCTCAAAAAAACTCATCAAAAAATTTCACCGGGAACCTCCTCAAATGACGATGGCCGGACGGAACCTCCTACAAAAGGGCTTATTTGCACTTTTTTGGTTAGTTCGAGGGCTTATTTGCCCCTTTTCCCTATATCTTTTTTCGCTAATTTCCTGGATTGAAACACCTTTAACAGGTCTCCACAGCGATGCCATCAATTCTTTGAAAAATTGAAATTTAATCTTACGACCAGTCAGAATCAGACCTACCACTGGGAAGTCTGTCTGGCACTTGTTCGATTCCTCCTCCTCATCTTCTTCTTCGAATACCAGTTCTTCCTTATCATCCCCAATAGCCTTTGTTTGTATTGGTGATCCACGTCCTCCATCAAATTACCCCTCTGTTTCGCCGAAACTCTTTCCCGGCCAGGCCGCCGAAGAAGAGCAGCTCGACTTCCGTCTCAACAATCTGCAGCACCACGTCACCCCCTTCTAGCACCGGCTGCGCGATACGCATGAGTACCGTCCGGGAATCTGAACACCAAGCGGCTGCACCTCGGAATAACCGAGAGCGGAGAAGAAATGGCTCTAGCGGCTCAAAGCCCTAGAGAGAGAAAAATTGGAGCGTCTTGGACTTTGAAAATCAAATACATTTTGTAAGACAAATTGAATGGTATGGGAGGATGACATATTTAGATAGTTGGAGTGTGTGAAAAATGAAATAAGTGATGTCTATTTAACTAGTTATAGTTTTTCTCGGTCTCACCCGGCCTTCCCAGTCACAACGGTCAAAAGAGCCATTGGGGACTGGTTGACTTTAAAAATCATTGCGTGCCCAACCAATAAGAAAAATAGGAAATTAGCCGCTAGGGATTGGGACGGGACCGAGACCGGGTAATATATATTCAAACTAGGGGCACCTGTTGCGGTCTACTCCCGGACCGGAAGACTAGACCCCGATTGAGACACGACCACAATCATATACAGAAATTGTAAATGGATAAAATTAAAGACAAATATTTAATCAACTTAAACTTTTAATCAAATTCAAAACATAAATAACCATTAAAAACCCCTACAAATGGGAAATCAACTGGGAGAGGTCGAGTGGAGAGCCCACCTGCTTGGCGGCTTGTCCACGTACGGTCTCACCATCCCGATTCTCTTCACCATCGTTGGAGAAGAAAATGACTTCGCAAAAAAAGAGAAAACTGTCAAATAGGTCCTCGAACTTTCATAAAAAGGTCAATTAAGTCCTTCTATAGGAGGTTCTGTCCGGCCGTCGCAATTTGGGGCAGTTCCCAGTAGAATTTTTTGATGAAATTTTTTGAGCATCTTATTCACCAAGTCTATCTTACTCATACCAAATTTCAGCTAAAAATTCAATCGGGAACACATTCAAATTAATTCTTGAAGATAACTGCACATTTTTGCGTTCTCGAATCAATTTGAATGTGCTCCCAATTATTATTTGACAGTTTTCACCCAAAAATAATAATAATAATAAGAAAACTGCTAAGGTAGGGACTAAGGGACCGATCCATTTTTTCTCACTTGGCAAAGGAACAAAGGTCTACAAAATAACAAGGGTAGATTTTTTCTTAGGGAAAGTTCCCGAAATAGGACTAAAAAAGTTTGAAAATTCCAAAATAGGACTGTCATGTTTTTATTACCAAAATAGGACTAATTACTGCCAAATGTGGAAAATACTGTCATGTTTGAAGTCTGGTACTGCCAAAACATGACAGTAATTAGTCCTATTTTGGGAATAAAAACATGGAAGTCCTATTTTGGAATTTTCAAACTTTTTTAGTCCTATTTCGGGTAATATCTCTTTTTCTTATTAGCTCATGCCCAAGAACACTTCTATCAATTACTGCACACATAGCTCACAGGACGGAAACTATATTAAACATTGAACCAAATTCAAAATATAAATGGAATAAAGGGTGTAACGGGGGTGCTAGATTGCCTGATAACTATTATTAATATATAAATTCATTTTGGCCAATATATATTAATATATACACATATAAACGTATTTAGTATATCAAAATTCTAAATTGACAAAAGCTCTACTTGTAATGTACAAAACTCACCATAATCACTTCTACCTCATAAGAAGTGACTTTATTTCCTCGGTCTTCATGCATACTTGAAGCCGAATAACTATGTTATTCAAAAGTTAAAAAAAACTTTGTTGAAAATGAATTATTTTATTTTCTTAATGATTTTATTTTTATGTAAAAATTATGGTTAATATAGTAGTATGTAATTAGATCTTGTATATATAAATATATAAGTATGTTTGATCCAAGCACTGTGCTGCAACTGCAACTATTGTTGAACTTGATCGCTCTTTAATTAACTCTTAATTTGGTAAAAAAAAAGTGTCGGTTTGTGAATTATATATAGATTAATTAGGTGTCCAAATTGTTACACTGTATGTCCCGCCGCCCAAAGTGTGCTGCCACCAACATATATGCATTTCTCTCTCAAAATTAATACTGCATTCATATTTTCATCCGATTCAATAATTTAACGAGTAAATGGCATTTAATGCTGCAAAGGAAATCATGCATCCTATATTTCTTGGTATTTATCAAACGTTGAACTTAATTTGTGATCAAAGAAATTCGAACGCAAAAGAAGAAATCAATGATGGCTTTCAAGAGGAATTCGAAAATGATGATCTGCACATTCGTGTACTTGACCCTCACATTACTGTCTTCTTCTGCAAAACCATCCTCAGCCAAAATATTCAAGAGGATTTATGCATTCGGTGACTCTTTCACGGACACCGGAAACACCCACTCCGCCACCGGCCCCAGCTCCTTCACTTACGTATCCAACCCGCCCTACGGCCGAACCTTCTTCCACCGCCCCACCAACCGATACTCCGACGGCCGCCTCGTCATCGACTTCCTCACCCAAGCTCTCTCCCTCCCCTTCTTGCCGCCCTACCTCAACCCCAACGCCGACAGATCTTACGGTGTCAACTTCGCCGTCGGTGGCTCCACTGCCATAGACCACAGGTTCCTATATATGCATGCCTCATCTCCGCTTCAATCTTTTATTTATCAAAATCCCCTAATTCTGCTCTTTGCTAATATCAAAATTGACTATCTAATTTATGAAATTTCGACCCATTTATGAAACAATTGGGTGTATATACACATTTTAATATCGACCTTTAAGTTAATGTTACATATTCAGAACTTTTCTTTTTGAGTATATTAATTCTTCCCTACTCATATTAATGTTGGGGTGTTGCTAAGTGATGATTAATTAACACTTTAACTTTAATTAATATTAAAATGATCAATGAACTGGCGGTTAATCATTGATTATTTCATAATTAAGTAATTTTGTGTTACTGATGCATAGTCTCATGGTTAGTAATCTAATGAGAAATTAATTGTGTTGATTGAACAGAAACTGATGTGTTGAGGTTATCAATCTAAATAGATTTTTTAACAATGACTTAAGGCATTAAATGCCACTATCAAGTTAGTCTTGTTGTTAATAGTTATCTTTGATGAATTGGAGATACTTTACGATTAAGTATTCGAGAGAAGATAGCCATATGTAAAGAAATAATCGGGATCAACCAGCATTTCAATAAGTGGAAAGTAATAAAATCAGGTTTTTATCACATTGATCATATAATTTAATCAACTTAGTGTTTAGAATAATTGTCAAATCTTAAAAGCAAAACCCCACTTTGTTTACTTTTGAAATCTCACACATTTAAAGATTATTTCTTTTTCTGTTCACTATGATATACTACCTCCGTTCCATTTATATGGTCCCGTAAGAGGGTGGCACGGCTATTAAGAAAAGTGGATTTGTGTGGTTGATATTAATTGATAAAGTAAGAATAAAGTAAGAATGATTTAGAGCCACACAAACTTTTCCAAATATTATATGGGACAATTTAAGTGGGACTTCCCGAAAAGGTAAAACGAGACAATATAAATGAGACGGAGGGAGTACTTCGTACTACTATAGTATAGTTTGGTAAGATTTTTTGTGAGGCATGTGACATTAGTGCCGACAGACATCTATATATTACTAGTATCTCATTTTCAGTTGCATAATGAGTATATACTATATTCCATATAAGCATAATAACTATCATAGCCATTGTTATTGTTGAAATTAATCCAACACGATATAGTAAATATACGTATGAACACTCAGTTTTACGTGGAAACCCGAAAGGGAGAAAACCACGGGACTTTTTAGGCTAATGTCCAAGCCCTCTCATTCTCATTAGGCTCTCCTCACCATTACATAGTACATTTTGAGCTCCCATTAATGGAGTCTTGTAAGCTATTCTATGTAGAAGAAGAAGCACGAGGAAGAAGGAAAAAGGATCCCTAAACATGTGGGAAAGCCCCATATTTATAGGGGAAAGGGAGTAGGGAATAAGTCTACCCTAATGGGCCAAGTAAGCCCAAAATGGGCCCAAAGTCCGAAATAGGCCTGATAGGCTGGAAATAGGCCTCGCTGATCGGGCTCCGTACTACGTACAGTCTTGGGCTCCTGAACAGTAATGGACCGAGATAATATATCTCAACAATTATTTTATGTTTTTGTTAAAACTTTCTAATCTGTTAGTATATGTTCTATGTTAAGGCTAATATTCTTGAACTGGGATGAGATTCGAACTTGTGACCTCACTCATTAGGAGTGTAACAGTACAGTAATGTAACTAGACCACAAGGTATTTGACCAGCAATTATTATTTAGTCACTTTGATTCTATTTAAAGTTAATCATAGGGACTTTTAGGTCTTAAAGTACTTCATGCATATGGAGTTTTATGTCAAGCAAAGATTTTTTCTTAAAATACTTTCTTGTGGTGTACAAGTTCATTTAAAAGAACTTTTCGTTTTGCTAGATGGGAAACAATTATATCCCTTTTAGAACCACGACTGGCGTTTGAGTTTCATTACTTGCTTTTAGTTTTTAAAGAGATACGGAGTAATTTAAAAATGAAAGGACTTGACTCTTTAAAAAAAAAACTTTGCTGAAAAATAAATCTTGGGATTATCCCCCAAATAGGAGTAAATAATAATAGTAATAATAATAATAATAATAATAATAATAACAACTAAATTGCAAGAATAGGACTTAAAGATATATCTTCCCACACTAGGAGTAATTAATGTTCTCTATTCCATATTTATCCTTATCACATTACTCCAGTATAATATAAAAAAAATACTGTTTTTTTACGTATAAAAAATCTGAAAAAAAATAGCAGCATCTTCTGCCTATGCCGCCTTCCCAGAACTGCCATTGGAGATGACCAGAAAAAATGCCATTTTTTTTTCAAGAATAGCACTTTATATCAAAAGTGGCATATTAATGGCATTTTCAATGTAAAAGATGACATTTCTGGAGAGAAATAATGCCATTTTATTGCATTTTTTAAACAAAAATTCACATTATTTTAAAAACCAGAGCTCATTAGAACGAAGGTCATTAGAACGAGAATACAAAAATTGAGAATGATTGCAGATCGATTAGAAGATGAGAATGACTTCAGAAACCAAAAGAAAGAAGGGAAGTAAAATAGAAACACGGATCGATTGCAAATCTTGGAAAACACTAAGGCATGGCCACATCCGATCTAGATGGAGAATAGACAACTTGCAGAAAAAAATGTGCTCGGAAATTGAAATTTATACTCTCTTTGTCCCTTAACACGTTGTCAACTTTTTTTTTTGATGTCTCACTAACTTTGTCTCTTTTCCTTTTAAATAAAGAATTTGTGGTTCTAGTTAATTCTCTCTTCTGTACAAACCTCAACCACACATTTTTTACTTTATTAATCTATGTGAGAGTTAAATTTGGCAAAGCTTTTAATCCTCATGCCTGTTAAACTCGGCAAAGTTTTAAGGGACGGAGGTAGTATATATATATACATGATTTCCAAATAGAAGGTCATAAAATTGAAATGCATCTTTTGAAATGTCAACCAAAAATGTTGACATTTAGAGCCCGTTTGGTAGCACGAAAATTGGTTGTTTTAGCTGATTTTGCTGAAATTTATGAAGCTCTGGCTGGGGTGGCTGAATTGGCTGATTCTGCTGATTTAAAAAAAACGTCAAATAGTCCGTATTAAAATTGAAATAGTTGTAACACAAATACTCCGTCCCTTCATACTTAGAAAAAAACGTCAAATAAGTTGTATTTTATTATTAACTATTTCAAATCATCACTTAAGTCATTGTATTAAAAAGTATGGTATAAGTATATTTACTTTAAAAAATTGATCAATTTGGGTGTTTATTCAATTTTTAATCTATAAGAGTAGGTGTCAAACACTTTGTAGTTCGATGAGATCATTGCACACTTCCAAGAAAAAGGTCAGAACTCACAAGTTTGAAAACTTATCTCAATAAAAAATGTTGATGTCTAAGAGAACATATATTATAATGTGTGGAAAAAGTGCATAAAAAAACTATAAAACCAGGTTTTTTATGTTAAAAAGGGAAAGTTCCTGAAATAGGATTAAAAAAGTTTGAAAATTCCAAAATATGACCGTCATGTTTATATTCTCAAAATAACAATGTCAACATTAGACGGTCTTCTTGACATTGTGGAGAAAAACTTACCAAAACTGTATAAAATCATTCAAATAAGGAGAGAAATAATTTATTTACTAATATTTATGTGGTCATCTCTCATGCCACGTGTGCACCGTGCACATTGTACCATTGAAGATGCTCTAACGTTTCTTTATCTGAGGCTTTATTTCAGAGAGATTTGAATGTTTTCATGGAAAAAGATGATAAGGATTCAACTCTGGAAAATATATATAGTTCTGTCTCAAGAAAATTCTCTGCAGAATGAAGATGCTTCTTAATCAGACGACTCAAGTCAATCCAGATTCAGATTCATATGGAAAAGAAATTGAAGTTACGCGTTTTCAATTGAATTATCAGATCGAGAACTACTAAATCGCTCAGGGGAGCGTTCTTGGAACCGTATAAAGATTCCAAGAAGCAGTTTGAGATTGGCTAAGAAGAGATGAAAAAATGATTTTCATTCGCCTCTTTATTTTACCTTTTACTTTAGCTTCTCATTAGCAGCTATCTCTCATTAACGGCAGTACTTTTACGGTTCTCTCTCATTAGCGGCGGTACTTTTACTTGCTGTTTGAATAAAATTTTCTGTTTTGCAAAAAAAATGATTCTAAAATTGCCCATGCATGAATGAGAGTGTGACATTTACAATAGCTATAATTACTGAGCAAACACAACAGTTTATATAATATTGGCCGCCTGGCCGGCCATGATTTCATGGTCTATAACCACTAACAACTAACCTTCATGATCAGTTCCAAAATTTGATCAGGATGTATATGTGTGAAACAAAGCCCCATAAAAAGCACATGATATCTGAGATGGATACGTACTAGGAGCAGGTATCCTTTGGGATGTGAGTTTAATTATATGGCTAGCTAGATCAGAGTACATTATTTCATGCATATTAGAGTACATTACAAGTAGGTAGGAGTGAGTTATATATAGGTATCTGATGATCGATATGCAGGTTCTTCGTGGAGAACAACCTGAGCCTAGACATTACCCCTCAATCACTGAAAACGCAGCTGACATGGTTCAATAGCTACTTGGAAAGTGTGGGGTGCAGAGACTACAAATCAACACCAAAGCAGTGTGGGGCGGTTTTTGAAGACGCCCTTTTTTGGGTTGGTGAGATTGGGGCCAACGATTATGCATACACCCTCGGATCAAACGTTCCTGCCACAACTATTCAGCGCCTTGCTGTCTCGACTCTTACTACCTTCATACAGGCAATGCTGAAGAAGGGCGCAAAGAAGATGGTGGTACAAGGGCTGCCTACCACGGGCTGCTTAACACTAGCCCTCTACTTGGCCCCGCCAGACGACAGAGACGCCATGGGGTGCGTAGCCTCCTCCAACAACCAAAGCTACGCCCACAACGCCATTCTCCAATCCAATCTCGACATCCTCCGCCGACGCTTCCCCCAGGCCACCATTGTGTACGCCGACTACTGGAATGCCTACAAGTCCATCCTCACCAATGCCAAACGCTACGGCATCACACAGCCCTACCGAGCCTGTTGCGGTTCTGGGGACGCCGCCTTGAACTTCGACGTTTTCGCCACTTGCGGCTCTCCCACTGCCGCAACATCTTGCCCGGACCCCTCTCAGTACATTAATTGGGACGGCGTTCATCTCACCGAAGCAATGTACAGTGCTGTTGCAGATCAGCTTATCAATGGCACCTTTTCTCATCCTCCCTTTCGTTCCTTGCTGCGGGCCGTGCCGCTCAGCAATTCCACAAGTTAAGCTAGCTATTTAATGGCACCTTCTCCCATCTATCTTATTCCCTAGCTAATTAAACCCCAACTTTTGGAGTTTTGTTTGTCTTGTAACTTTGCTTACTTTCAAATTTTATCATGTACGGAGTAACTAATAACTTTATACTTTGGTGTCGTCTTTTCCGATTTGTTTTTCCATTTTCTGGAGTTTCCAATGAAAAAGATGTTAAACTGAATACATTTATTAGTTATGAGATCATATTTCAGGCTTGTAAAATTATAAGACTAATAACGGACGCCACACAAAGTTATAAGATTAAAATTATAAGACTAATACGTACTATATTACTACTAATCCCTTATCCTAGTTTTTTACTTTAATGGATCCGAGCTAGATTTTACATCATAAAAGCATTTAATTTTTTAACTCGCTTGTGACGATACACGTTAGTGTAAATTATGCGTATTAACCCTAATGTTTTTTTGTATTATCCTTATTAATGCACATAGCTCCTGGGAAGAAAACTTGTGCCAAAATACCAATGCAATCTCGTTGTGGTTGTGCTTTAGGGTGCGACCATGATGAACAACAAACCCCCGGCGCGGTATGCGCCATGGGCGGAGCTAGGGGAGGGCCATCCCTGGCCCTGGCCCAGCCTAAATTTTAAAAATGCTTGTATTTTTAGTGTAAAATATTTCGTGTAAAAAAATTCCCAAAATATTCTTTGTACCGGTCCAGTCTGGCCTAGTACCCTAGCTCCGCCCCTGGTATGCGCCAAGGATTACATTTAACTATTAAGTAAAGTACTTAGTTTTTTGTACTATACGGGAAGAATAATTACATTTGCACTTTGAGACATTTATAAAATAGAAATTATTTCAAATAGGACTAAAACTATCGCAAAAACTCAAAATAAGACTTGCTATGTTTTTATTCCAAAATAGGACCATAGTGGTCCTATTGGAAACATATCCATTTCTTCCTTCCATTCTTACCCCTCCTTTAAATATTAGTAAAAGATAGTTAAAAGTCATAATTAAATGTTTAGTTCATAATAAATCCGAAAAAATTTCAATAATTCGTAGAAAAATAATAAAAAAATTAATAAAATTTTTATAAATTAAAAAATAAGAATTTTTTTTTTGAAAATTAATAAAAAATAGTAAAACTCCATAAAAAAATTAAAAAAAAATGGATACCTTTCCCACCGCCTGTATTACCTCCCTGAACCACCACCTCCAATCGGTGTAAAAAATGCCACTTTTTTTTAAATTCCACAAAAATGGCATATTTCTCTATGAGAATGCCAACATTTTCATTCTGCCAACTTGAATCCTTTTGACTTTTGCCAAAAATATGGCATTCATAATTTTTTTGGCATTTTTTTACCCCGGTGATAGGAGGTGGTGGTACCGCCTCCCTGCACCACCACCTCCAACCGTTAAAAAAATGTCATATTTCCTACAAACTTCCATTTTTTTGGAAAATGCCAAAAACATGGCATATTTCTCTTTGACAATGCCAACATTTTTTTCTGCCATCTTAAATCATTCTGAATAATGCCAAAAATATGAAATTCATAATAAATTTGGCATTTTTTTCCCAAATGACTAGAGGTGGTGGTGATGTGGCGGCAGAGGCGGCGGTGACAAAAAAAATAATTTGATTTGTTTTTATTTTTTATTTTATTTTTAATTTTTTTTAATTTATTATTATTCAAAACATTTTTATTAATTTTTTGGTATATTTTACGAATTTTTATTATTTTTTATTATTTTATTATGAATTAAAACATTCCAATAGGTATAAGGGTATATTTGTCCAAGACACACATAATTAGTTCTATGGAAACATAGTTTATTTTTTTGTCCTATTTGTGCAAAGTGAATGACTTGTAGTCCTATTTTGATGATTAACTGTTTATAAAACTTATACTCTTATGATAGTCTTTTTAACAAAGAATATTTTCATAATTTTCATATTATAAATACTTTGATGTATAAATATATTCAATCAAAGTTTAGCATCATCAACTCGAAAAGTCAAAGATGACTAACTAAAAAGGGACAAATAGATTATAGTTTAGATATTTTGATAAATTTATGAGCATGGCAACCATAACACTCGAATAAGTGATGTCAATACTGTGAAATTGGTTTCTAAAAGGTGTTATGTGCACGAGTTGTTATAACACATAAAGAGTTTGATGCATTTTTCAAATCACAAAGGAATCAGAAGGACTAATACACAAAATGTAGATATTACAATGAGGTTTCGTACATCAAACTTAACAAACCCCATTTAAAAAATTATACTGTGTTAGATAGTAAGATAGTACTATTTAGGTCTCTATCATAAGAAATACTAGATTACAAGTATATACATTATGCTAATACAGTTAAATTGCATGCATTTGTTATGGAGGACATATGGAGGACACTACTATAATGAGCATACATATACATTTATTTTTTATTAGTTTTCCATCGCGTGTTTGAACAATTCAATAAATGCTCAATTTGATTCTTTATATAAATCATTTGGACAAAATATTTATTTGTTATGGACGAACAAAAGTATTGTTGGGATATAACATCCCGGCCTATTACTATTCTGAGGCCCGAGGCATCGTCCCGATAAGGAGCCCAGTCAGCTAGGCCCAATTAGGCCCAACCGGCCCAACCGGCCCATTTAGGCCTATTGGCCCATTAGAGAAACCCTTAACCCCTTCCCCTTTTCTATAAATAGGAAGGAATGTTTCCAGGGAAAGGGATCTGCTTTTTGCTCTTCTCTCCTTGGAGACTTCTCCTCCTCCCCTTTAGTGTTTCTTCTTCCCTAGAAATAGCTCAAGCTCCATTAATGGAGGCTGAAAATATGTATTATGTAATTGAGTGATGGGAGGATATGAATGAGAAAGAGCGGGCTTGGACGTTAGCCTAAAAAGTCCCGTGGTTTTCTCCCTTTCCGGGTTTCCACGTAAAAATAGTTAGTTCATACACTTTTTATATATTTTATTCATGTTTATACCGAATCCATCGTCCTTAATATCCGAAGTTTATGTTGGGCTTCCGGATCTACGGGACAAAACCTCAACATTGGCGCCGTCTGTGGGAAAAGTTCAAAAAGATTACGGGTCTGTTTGGTGACAGCTGCATTGGCTGGAATGGCTGAAAAGCCTGAAAAGCCTGAAAAGACTGAAGTGAAAGTGTTTGGTAATATATTGGCTGGAATGACTGATTGTGTGTAAAATTACTATAAAGGGTATTAGCTTATTTGTGTTAAATATATGGGTGTGAATTTTACTAATAAACTACTTTTGCTTGATTAGGTAATTATAAGATTCTTTGAATGACTTATTACTTCGTATTTTTAACACAATTTTTTTGGAATGAACAACATTATCATAATTTTTTTGTAAATAATATGAGTGCATTAATTTTAAAAAAAGCATACGGAGCATTAATTAAAGAGTTCACATGCCTTGAATTAACAAAAAAAAAGAACGAAGTATTTATTGAAGCAACGTGAACAAGACGTATTATTCATCTGCTTCAATCTCTTCGATCAGAACTATAAGCACTAAGCAGCAATATAGAAGGGTAGAAGGTCTTTTAGATTTGCTACAGTAGAATAATACAAAACAGCCGAAGAAGTAACCATATTGCTACTTTTTGTGCTGATCATAAAATTCAGCTGAAATAGCTAGTTCTTGATGTGTTTGGTGATTTTTTAGTAGTTTCAGGCTTATCAGCCCATTTTGGGGTGCTCCAAACGGAGCATACGTGTTCTTGATGCTGAGAAGATTTTGACCGAATGATGAACTGCTCTATCAAAGAAAAGAAGAAACCAGATACACTGCCAAAGGAAGAAGGGTGGAAATTGGAGTTTCAGATCTGCTCTAAGCCACCTAATTCAATGGTCAACAACGGTGAAAAGCACAACAGCAAAGTAAAACCTCCTGACCCAGTGAAGCAACTTCAGCAGCTTGGCCATAGATCAAATCTATGCACCCAACAAACTTCGGTAGCAGGAGTTCAAGGAAAATTGAGGAAAATGATGGGTGGGGCCCGCGTGCCCACCACTTTCCTTTATCCTGACAACACCTTTTGATGACTTGACAGACTCTCTCTTATCCAAAGATGACACGCCGAACCCCGAACGGGAACTCCCGAACATCCAAGCCTGAAGCCTCACTTCCCGAACGCTGAACGGTATAGAAAATATTGACAGGGATGACGCCGGGCAACAGATCCGGCTCAAATGCTAAACCCTGAGGATTGCATGAACGGTGCCGTAGTATGGCCGAACAAGCATAATGAACGGGGCCAAGCTAAAATGATACCATCTGGGAACAATATCAACAGTGATACCTCCTGTTCCCTCCTGCTCGAGCAGCCTGGCTTCACCGGCATCGCTGTAGCCTTGCGAACAACAAGAGCTTCAGTTTGGGACCATCAAGAGGTCCACATCCCGAACAGAAATTCCAAAAATAAGAACCAGTAGCCGCAACCAGTAGCCGCCTCCATGTTCCTCCCCAGCAGGGGTAAGAGAATGCCGTACGGGAATGTGGGGAACCAATGCTCGGAGAGTTCAGGCACCTAGCACCCCCCCTCAGTTGCGGCCTGTGCAGTTTCTGCCGATCAATAGGAACACCTTCAGCCTCTTCTCAACCGGCTGGATGAAACCCGAACAGGCAGGCCCTCAGCTAAGTTGATCATCAGGGGCTTCAGTGGACTCAACCGGTCATCAAAGATTCAAAGGGGTGCAATTCCTGAACGGTATCCGGGGCTCCCACACCTAGGTGACCCGGATGATCAAATACCGGGTGATGGAACCTCAATCGCAGAAAAATTCAGTCCACCGGCAACTGCAATTGGAGGAGACAACTGTTGGAGGTATTGGTCCTACCAAGGCCTCCCTTCCACTTTATTTGTTGAGGCTTGCACCCTATTGTTTTACTCCCACTTTGGTACCTTTACCTTGGTATTTTATCTGATCAATAACATACCTATTTGAGGGTTGACTTACCCACTTGGCTGGCCCCTCTGTGTTCTGTCCGCTGCATACTCCATTTGTCTTGGTCTTGCTTGTGACTTTCCTTTGTCTAAGATGCATGTGAGTGTCTTTTGTATTGACCTCACCCGTGACTTCCTTGGCAGCCTATTAATAGTCTTTGCTTCT